ACTGCAGGAGAGTTCCAGCCCTGCAGCAAGGGCACAGAAGAAGTGACCCAGTCCATGCAGTGGCCTCAGAAGATCCCACAGCATCCTGGAGATGCTGTCAGGGAGCCCAGCTCTGCTTCACAAGTTCCCAGTGCCTGTCCCTGCCTGTGCTCAAAGGGCTCCCACCCCCAGGACTGTGCTCAGAGAGCACTCAGGCCTTCCAGTGAGAAAAGGGGTTCAGGAGGACAGTGTGGAAGTGGAAAGAGCAGCTCTGCAAAGCCCAAGCTCTGCTGCTCCCTGGCAGTGCTGCTGTGCTGGGATTCTTGTCCCCTTGCCCTTTGCAAATCCCCCCTGTCCTGCAGTGTGCTGTCCTTTAGGAACAGCTGAGAAGAAGGGTCTTGGACAAAGAAGGCACTGCAGGGTCATTTTTTTCCTTTAAACACTCCGAGATCACAAATCATTATTTATACATCTCTGGGTCAAATTCAATGGGTAGACACTAAATTAGAAGGCAGGTGCCAAAGATTATGCAATTGCACAAAAAATTATTGCAAGAACAACCCAATGACTTCCCCTAAAAACCTGAGAGGGCAAATTGGGCCATTAGTGAGCTCCATTCTGAATGCTACACACCAGAAAACAGGCAGTTTGATTCTTTGGAAAAGCATCCAATCATCATTTTCCTTATGGCATCCCTGAGCTCCTGGTTCCTCAGGCTGTAGATGAGGGGGTTCAGGGCTGGAGGCACCACCGAGTACAGGGCCAGATCCAGGGATGGGGAGGAGATGAAGGGGGGTTTAAGGTCAGAAAATGTGGCAGTGCAAACAAAGAGGGAGACCACGGCCAGGTGAGGGAGGCAGGTGGAAAAGGCTTTGTGCTGTCCCTGCTCAGAGGGGATCCTCAGCACAGCCCTGAAGATCTGCACATAGGAGAAAACTATGAAAATGAAACAACCAAACACTAAAGAGATGGAAAAAATGAGAACCCAAATTTCCCTGAGGTAGCCTGAGTGTGAGCAGGAGAGCTTTAGGATGTGAGGGATTTCACAGAAGAACTGGTCCAGGGCATTGCCCTGGCAAAGGGGCAGGGAAAATGTATTGGCTGTGTGCAGCAGAGCAGTGAGAAACCCAGAGGCCCAGGCAGCTGCTGCCATGTGGGCACAAGCTCTGCTGCCCAGGAGGGTCCCGTAGTGCAGGGGTTTGCAGATGGCAACGTAGCGGTCGTAGCACATGATGGTGAGGAGGGAAAACTCTGATGACATGAAGAACACAAAAGAAAAGACTTGGGAAACACATCCCATGTAGGAGATGGTTGTGGTGTCCCAGAGGGAGTTGTGCATGGCTTTGGGCACAGTGGTGCAGATGCAGCCCAGGTCTGTGAGGGAGAGGTGCAGCAGGAAGAAGTCCCTGGGGGTGTGCAGGTGCTGGTCGCAGGCTACGGCGCTGAGGATGAGGCCGTTGCCCAGGAGGGCAGCCAGGG